CAGGCCGAGATGAGCGGGCTGGATGTCGACACGCGCAGTGATATCTATTCGCTGGGTGTGCTGCTGTACGAATTGCTGACGGGAGTCACGCCGTTCGAACGCGAACGTTTTCAGGCGGCGGGACTGCAGGAAGTGCGTCGCATGATCTGCGAAGAGGATCCGCCGCCGCCCAGTTCACGGTTGTCGGCGCTACAGCGTCGCAGCACGCTGAAAGACGTTGCGACTGAACCTGTGGAACGCCGTCGCGCGCCCGTCAAACTGTCGCTGGCGATTCAGGGTGACCTGGACTGGATCGTTCTGAAGGCGATGGAAAAAGACCGCACGCGTCGGTACGCGACCGCCCTTGCGTTGGCTGAAGATCTGGAGAGGTTTCTGGCCGAGCAGCCAGTGGAAGCTCGACCGCCTTCGCGAGTTTATCTGTTGCAGAAGTTCGTGCGGCGAAACCGAGCCTCAATTGTCACGGCCTCTATCGTGGTGACGGCACTCATCCTTGGCACCGCGATCAGCCTGTGGCAGGCTTCGGTTGCCTTCGACGAGCGAAACGCCAAAGACCTTGCACTGCAGCAGGCCTTGAGACTGCAGCGGGAAGCCGATGAAGCTCGGGACGAAATCGCCAGATTCGCCAGCCGGATGAAGGACGCGAACGCGCTGATCAGCAGCGGCCGAACTCATCTGGATGCTCAACACTGGTCATCAGCCTACGCCGATTTTTCGGCGGCCATCGCCACGATGCCGGATTACTACAACGGCTGGGTCGAACGTGCCGCCCTGCTGGCTCGTCTGGGACTGTGGCAGGAAGCTGCCAACGATTTTCAGCAGGCCTTCGAACTGGGGCTGCCGCTGGACCATTCGGCAAGCTGGGGGATTGCTCAGGTGTTTCTGCTGACCGGCCAGCGTTCGGCGTACGAAGCCTATTGTCAGAACCTGCTGGACGCTGCTGCTCAGGCCGAAACAGAACCGGCCCTGCCAGCGATTCGTAGTTGCGTCATCGGTTCGCCTCCTGTGGGCGACGTCGACTGGCTGGCCGGACTTCTGAAAGAGGAACGCGGGCGGCCCGGCGGTCCGGGACAACCGCCCAGGCAAAACAACAGGCCGCCCAATCAGGGCCGTCCGCCAACCGAAGGTCCGGTGGGTCCGGACGAACGGCCTTCCTGGCGGCCGCCCGGTTTTCGCCCGCCAGCGACATTCGGCAGACCACCTGGTGACGGATTCCGTCCTCCGCCGATGATCCGCGGCGTTGGATCGTATACCGCCGGACTCGCGCTGTACCGTGCAGGACGTTATCGCGAGGCGGAGTCGAGGCTGCAGTCCGCACTGGACGACCCGATGTGGCGGCATCGTCGAATTTCTCACGCGGTTCTGGCGATGGTGTACCATCAGTTGGGTGATTCCGAACACGCTCAGCGACACTTCCGAGATAGTCAGCGAGAAATCGAAACGATCACGATGCGGCTGGCAGACGATCCGATTGGTGACTGGCCGTTGCCTTGGTTCGATTGGATCGAGTTACAACTGACTCACCGGGAAGCGTCGCTTTTGCTGACCGGATTTGCTCCCGCGGAAAATCCTGACCTGCGTCAGCGACAGCAGCAAGCGCGGCAGTTGCTGCAGCTTGCTTCGACCGACGAGTCGACAGGTACGGACGCTCAGACGTCCGCTCCGGCCCGGTAGCACGCTGAGAAATGCAGTATTTCATGCTGCGGGTGTTTTTTCTGCAGAATTCTGGCCGGGTACAGCATTCGATTTCGCATGGATTCGTGTCCGGCCGCCCATGCCGGTTGTTGAATCAATTCTGCCCGCCGTTCACCTGGCGGCTCGATGCCGATCCTCGCTGAAGCCTGTCCTGCGAAAACTGTTTGCGATATGGAATTTCTGGAAGTACCGCTGATCGATGACGACATCTACAAGCTGTTGGTTCGATTCGGAATCAACCTTGTCTTTCTGATCCTGATTGTCGTCTTCGCAATTTCCCGACGTGAACGCGATCGTGAATTCACGTTCACCGTCGTCATGTTGAACATCATCGTGTTCTTTATCTGCTTCACGATGAAGAAGCTGGAACTGGACCTGGGCCTGGCGCTCGGCCTGTTCGCAGTGTTCGGCGTGCTGCGTTATCGCACCGATGCGATCCGCCCCAAGCAGATGACGTACCTTTTCATCGTGATTGGTATTGCAGTCATCAATTCGCTCTCGAATAAGAAGACCAGCTACGCCGAGGTCGCGTTGGTGAATGCGATCATTTTTGGCAGTGCAATGTTAAAGGAATGGGTGGTCGGACGGCCGGTAAGAAATTCCAGACCAGTCGGACAAGGAGGCTCGGAGAGCGCACCCACCGCCAAACAAAAACGCGACAAGGGGAACGGTGGTGCGAAGAAACCGCCGAGATACACGGTCGAATATGACCGGCCGGAATGGCTGGGTGTCGAACGGCGTCAGGACCTATTGCGGGACCTGCAGCAACGACTGGGCATGGACGTAGATCGCGTGGAAGTGAAGTCCATCGATCTGACTCAAAGCAAAGCCACACTGACGGTCTGGCCCCGAACTTCCAAGCTGCCGGAATCAGCTGCGGCCGATTCTGACGAACCGTCGTCGTGATGCGAATGATCGTCCCGCATCAGCCTCGGAACCGGACACAACGATCCCTTCACCCATCAAAACGGCCTGCTGAATCCTTTACGGAATTGAAAGATGAACTTACTGCTTCGAACAGCATTCCTGTCGCTTTCAGGAATGGCCCTGCTGCTGACCACGGCCGCTCAACCACCCGGCCGCGATGACTCGGAACGTCCCGACCGCCGTCCACCGGAGCAACGGGACCGCGACCGGGACGATCGTGATCGGGAACCAGGCCGCGAACGGTTTGGCCCCGGAGGCTTCGGCGGTCCAGGCGGCTTCGCGGGCCGCGGTGGCCCGCCGGGTGGTGAGCAACGCAAGCTGCTGAAAGAGTTCGACCGCGACGAAAACGGCTGGCTCAACCGAGAAGAACGCGCTGAAGCTCGGAAAGCCGCTCAACAGCAGCAAGAGGGACAGCGTCGGCCGGGGCCGTTCGGTCGCGGTGGCTTCCGAGGTGAACGGGAACCGGCAAAGCCTGGTGCTCAGGTGCGTCCTGGAGAAGTCGCCAGCTATCCGGAGGCCGAGCTGTACGACCACAGCGTGGTGCGGACTTTGTTCTTCGAATTTGAAAACGAAGACTGGGAACAGGAACTGGAAGACTTTCACAATACGGATGTCGATGTTCCCGCCACGATGATCGTTGACGGAAAACGCTACGAGAACGTCGGCATGCGTTTTCGAGGCATGTCGTCGTACGGAATGGTGCCGGCCGGCTATAAGCGTTCGTTCAACGTGTCTGTCGATCTGGCGGAGGACGATCAGCGTCTCTACGGCTATCGCACCCTGAACCTGCTGAACAGCCACGGCGATCCAACGTTTCTGAGCACGGTGCTGTATTCCAAAATCGCGTCTCCTTACATCCCGGTGCCGCAGGCGAATCACGTTCATGTCGTCATCAACGGAGAAAGCTGGGGCGTGTATGTGAATGTGCAGCAGTTCAACAAAGACTTTCTGGCCGAGCACTTTGAATCGACGAAAGGGACACGTTGGAAAGTCAGCGGCAGTCCGCGCGCTGATGGTGGACTGCGATACCTGGGCGATGATCTGGATGAATACAAACAGCGGTTCGAAATGAAGTCGAACGATGGCAGGAAGGCCTGGAATCGACTGGTCGAGCTGTGCCGTACGCTGAATGAGACTCCTCTGGAAGAACTGGAATCGGCCCTGGAACCGATGCTCGACATTGATTCAACGCTGAAGTTTCTGGCTCTGGATGTCGCCCTGGTGAATAGCGACGGCTATTGGACGCGAGCCAGTGACTACAGCCTGTTTCTGGACAAAGACAAACGCTTCCATGTGATTCCTCACGACATGAACGAAGCCTTCCGCAGTGGCCGACGCGGACCGGGTGGACCCGGCGGACCCGGCGGCCGCGGCTTCGGACCACGGCCGGGAGGTTTTGGACCACCGCCCGGAGGCGGTTTTGGTCCGCCGCCGGGAGGATTCGGGTTCGGTGGTTTTGGGCCTGGCCCTGGCGGTCCGCCGCCCGAACAGACTGAACGCGACAGGGGCGATCGCCGAGGCGAAGCTGGTGGTCGAGAGGATCGAGAAGGCAGTGACCGAGATCGCGCTGATCGGCCGCGCGGACGAGACGGCCGCCGAGGTGAAGGTGAGCGTGGACCGGGCCGTGGGCGAGGTGGATTCGGCGGTCCTCCAGGCGGCTTTGGTCCCGGTGGGCCGGGCGGGCCTGGACATGGCGGTGTTGATTTGGATCCACTGGTCGCGATCGATGATCCGCGAATGCCGCTTCGCAGTCGGCTGCTGGCCGTTCCATCATTGAAAGCGCGTTACCTGCAGTACGTGAGACAAATTGCGGAAGAATCGCTGCACTGGGATGATGTCGCCCCCTTCGTGACTCAGCAGGCGCAGCTGCTGCAACCCTACGTTGCCGCTGATACTCGTCGGCTCACGTCGCTGGAAGAATTTGAAGCTTCCACATCCGTAAACGAGCAGTCGGCACAGGACTCGGGTGGTGGAACGGCTGCGGAGCCTGACAATTCGCTGCGATCGTTCTTCGAAAAACGACGCGCCTTCCTGCTGGAGGCGACTGAGCCGAAGTAAGGTTCATCAACGCGGGCTGGTGGTGTCACGATGTTGTTTGCAGCGACCGCATCGTGACATTTCAGACTTTCGCCGGCGTCCGCTTCGGTCTACAGTCGTGACCGCTGAGATATTTCGGTGAGTTCTCAGCGGTCTTGTTTTATTGGTTCGATTTTCGCTGCGACATGTCCAAACGGCTGGTGATCTGGGACTTTGATGGCACGCTTGCCGACACGTTAGGAATCGCACTGCACGTCTTCAACGATCTGGCTGAAGATCGAGGGTTCCTGCCGATTAACGATCCGGATTCAGTGCGTGACATGAGCATGTCTGAGTTCCTGGCGGCTCATAGAGTTCGCATGCACCAAGTCCCTACGGCGTTTGCCGAATTACTGAGAAGAATCCACCAGCGACGTCGCACGATCCGACTGAATGACGGCATCGCGGCAGCCGTCTCAAGCATGCACCGATGCGGCATCGAGCAGGCTGTGGTCAGTTCAAACGACGCGGCGACAATTTCCGGCTGTCTGATGCAGGCAAAGATCGAACAATGTTTTCGTTCGATCCACGGCACCAGTCGCCTGTTCGGAAAGTCGAAAGCTCTGCAACGCGTCGCGGCAGAATACGGCCGGACTCCGCAGCAGGTCCTGTACGTGGGAGACGAAATTCGAGACGTCGAAGCAGCCCGCGCGGCCGGATCGGCCTGTGCGGCAGCCACGTGGGGCTTGAACTCTGAAGTGGCCCTGCGGTCGGCACAGCCAGATTACATCGTGCATTCGCCGTCCGACGTCGCCGATCTGCTGAACTCCGCCGTGACGCCACAACAGAACTGAGAATTCGGCGATTTGCTGACCAATGCCATCCGCTTCGGACATCGGACATCGAACGCGGGACGGAATAAGGTCTTCCGGACTCTACAGCTGCGACAGCCGGGCCAATGCTTCGTCTGAACCGGCCAGCAGCAGGACGTCATTCTGCTTGATGACATCGTCCGGGCCCGGGACGCTGATCAATCGGGGCTTGGCGGTCGAGTGGCTGCCGGCAGTCGCGGTCTGGGCCGCTTCCGCGTCTTCCGGCTGACGGCGAATCCCGATCAGATTGACTTCGTAGTCAGACCGCAGATTGATATCGCGCACAGTCCGTCCGGCAAAGCGGTCCGGTGCAACCAGTTCCAGAACGGTGAATCCGTCGGCCAGCTTGATGTAGTCGTTGATCCGCGGATGGGCCAGCCTTCGTCCCAGCATCAGTCCGGCGTCCTGTTCCGGTTCGATCACTTCGTCCGCGCCGATCTGGCTGAAGATCTGAGCGTGAAACATCGTTTGAGCTCGGCAGACAACGTGCGGTACTTTCAGGTTCTTTTTGCAGATGACCGTCGTCAGCAGCGCGGCTTCGAAGTTTTCGCCGATGGCAACCACCACCGTGTCGACTCGGTCCACTTCCTGACTTCGCAGCGCTGCTTCGTCGGTGGAATCGAGGCAGATGGAAATTGCGACATCGTTCGCAATGTCCTCCACCAGCTGCTCATTCGCGTCAATAGCCAGCACTTCGGCCCCGTGACGACTCAGTTGCCGAGCAAGTGCGGTTCCGAATCGTCCCAGACCGATCACAGCAATGCGGCGAGTCTGTGCGGGCATG